GGCCCAATGCCATAGCTTAGCTCAGGGGTCTTCAAACTTGGCCCTTTTATGACTTGTGGACTTCAACTCCCAGAATTCCTCAGCCAGCACGCTGGCTGAGGAATTCTGGGAGTTGAAGTCCACAAGTCATAAAAGGGCCAAGTTTGAAGACCCCTGGCTTAGCTTATTTAAAATTGTCTTTATGATTTATTTCATGGTGATGGTGAATTCCATTTAAAAAGCTTATTTTAAGAACAAGAACAATTTTAGATTTCATAAAAGGACAAGTATCATTGTTGCAGTAAAAATGTAAAAAGTCTACTCAATTCAAAATTCCGTTGATTCATGTTGGGTCTTTAGTTATAATTTAAATTATCCTAAAAATACAAACATTGTAATAGTGTTGAATGTTATAGTGTTAAAGAGTTAAATATCAGAATTTTTTTCAGGTTAGATTCTGTTATCTAGAGTTTTCTTTCTTCTATTTTCAATTTACTTTACTCAGCCAACAATAAAAATGTGTGTTTGTTTGTAATACCAAATGAGTAAGAATCATAACAGTGTGACAGTAACCAGAAGGGTTGGGTGTAATGAAACAGTGCCATAAATTAAATCATTTCATCCTTGCTGGCATAGTAACTAAACCTTTTCTCTTCTTTTTCTGGGACACTATTTGATACAAAGGATACATTTTTTTTTATAAAAAAGGCCCTGAACATCAAATGCCTGTTTTTCAGAAATATTAAAACAGGAAGTAAGGTTTGTGATTAAGCTTTGCCTCTTTCTATGTAATCAATTCAAAATCCATTCATTTCCTCCCTTTCTAAGAATTCTGAAAACTTTGGGAGATGTCTAATTGGTAGCTTTTACATGAGTCAGTGCCTGGGCATTACGGTAAGAGTTTAATTAAACAAGATTAATTAATTAATATGTTGTCGGGATATCTAAAACACATATTCATAAGGCTCTGCGTGAGAATTGCTTAGTACAAATACATACCATTGGACTGTATTGATTATAACCATACAGGTCAAAGGTTGGGAAACATCTTTGTTTTTCAAAGCTGGTTTCATTTATGATCAAAACTGGTGATCATCTTTTAAAATACAGTACATTCCTGTACTTACTTGAAAGCACTTACAATCCATAGATGGTTAGTTATATTTTCCTTTTGGCTGGAGCAAGGATCTGGAGTATTAGGGGAGATAAGCTCCTGAATAGCTGAATTGGCTCAGGACAACGTCAAACAAACCACAGTTACAGTGGTTAGTCAGCTCCAGAGGCATTTGCACCATTGAGACAAGATAGACATCAAGGCAGAAAGGGCTAAGCAGCAGGCAGAAAAAGCTTAAAAGTTTATACTTTCATCTTAGAGACAAAATCAGCAAATGAAGCAGGTTTTTCTGGCACTTGCTGGACCAGGTTTGTCTTGCAATCATCAATAATGCCTAGCAGGCTTGTACTGCAGACTAAAAGGTAGGCTTAGATCACAGGGCTAAGAACCTGTAGGCTGGTAAAAAGGGTTGATTCTAATTATCAGGAGCTTTTGAGAGTTATGTAGCAAAGGAGCACTCCCAATTGTCCTTCAGCAATCAAACTATTATTATCAAGAGGTTGTAATTACGTAATACCTTGATATGTCCTCAATATTTATGTGGATGTGGAACTTCCTTTTCAACACAGTTGTTTTTCCAAAACATAGAAGCTGTTAAAAAGAGAATGAATGTCACTACTTTGGATCACTTTCTGACAAGCTCACCTTGATTAAGTTCAGGACATTATTTTGCTTCAGGGCTCTCGTCTTTTACAGACAGCAGGTGGCCATGTGCCCTTCTTTATAATAATGAACAGTTCTGCCCTTGGAAGGACTTCTCTTTGTAGGAGATAACCTCCTGGAAGTTCTGTCCTGTTCAGATATTAACACCAAGAAGCATCTGAATAAAGAAAAACAGGGACCTGAAATTTCCCACCATAGCTGGCACCCATTTCATACACTGAGCAGGAGGCACCCAGCTCTTCCAGTCACAGACTTTTCCACTGTAACATGCTTGCTATTATTTTATATTTATAATTATAATTTCTAAATATCTATCTGAACACAGACACACAAAGTATGATTGTTGTACAGATTTGTGCTCTTTTGGTTTTGGGGTTTGTATGGGAGCACAGTGACAAATATCTTTTTTAATGGTGTGGGTTAGGTACTGTTTTAAGAACCAACCCATTCACTGATGAGTAAGCTCTATAAGGAAATTGGTTTCTTCTGAGAATAAGAGCTTTGTAAAAACTGCGCAAATGGTTAAATGGAATGACACCAGTGATGACGAAAGGAGATGTGATCAAGAAATGGATAGTTTTACTGAGAAATCCTTCAAAAGTAGTGGTTTGTTTATTCAAAACATCCTATTGAATGAAGGCTGAGTACATCACCCTTATATGCAATTCCAGTTCAAACTATGAATGATGCTTCAAGACCAATTATTTCTTTTTATTTCAAATGGAACTATGAACCCAGATTATATAGAGTCGCCTCAGTTGAGGCCATTTGGAACAGACAAAATGGTTCTATGATGTACCTGTTCTCTATCACATCTCCTCTATAATAATCTCCCTGCCTTCTTCTTTTTCTTTTCTTCCTCTCATCCCCCCCTCCCTGAATCTTTATCACATCTTTAATGCAAAATTTCTAGCTCTTGATATTTACATTTTCAGTCATGTGTTCTTTTGAATCAAGAGTTAAAGCCTTTTAATAATATATAACAATAATATAATAATATAAACAGAGTGGTGTGGTGCCCTAGTGGTGAAGATACTCAACTCCCATTTGGAAGGTTGAGAGTTCAGTCCTAAGCAGCGGAAGATGTTTCTCTTCCAGGCGCAAAAAAAATAAAAATCTGCTCTGAACTCTGTGTGGCATCAAGAAGGGCATCCAGCCAGTAAATGCTCAGCTTCATTCAGTCACCCCGACTCTGCCCCAAATCAAGGAATTACATGGTCATAAAAAGAGTTAATATAATAATATAAACATAATATTACTGTTTTTTAGAATTGTGGAATATTTTAATATTGTTATTTTATACACTTTTTAAAAAATGTACAGTACACCACCCAGAGTCATGTCTTGGGAAATGGGAGGCCATATAAATACGATAGATAGAAAGACAAAACACAGGTAGATAAATGCTAATTAGTTGGTACATCCTTTAAAAACGAGGCAGTGTTTTTCCAGTTAAAGGCCCATATATATTTAATTTTTTTATTAGGAAGCTCCATGAAAACTGTAATGGAGGTAACAGTATATAGTTTGATCTGTACATAACATTCTCACACCTGCAGTGGCTCCCTCATTCCCTACCATGGAGAAAAATGTTCTGTGTTCATCCTTTGAAATAATGGGTGTCAAGCAGATTTGCATGAGCTTGAGAAAACATTGGTTCAACTGATTAAAATTAAATGAGTTTCTTAAGGTAGCTGCAACTTTTTTTCCAGATTTGTATAGAGTCTGAAAGGACTTATGAATAGCAGAGGAGTAATGGAATTATGCAAGACACAAAGTACTTTTTCCAATCATTTTCAAAGTGTGCATAGGTCTATTAGATACTGGAGAAACCAAACTTTTGGACAGCTTCCAAAAATGTTGGACATACAGGCCACTTCTTACTAAAGGGCTTCGTTTGGTACCACAAAGCACATTAAGAGCTCCAGTGTAAACAATAAGCACTAGAACAGTGTTAGGGGATTTAAGATTAAACCATCTTTATCACTTTTGTTCTTTGCATATATTGATGATTTAACATGCCAATATTATGTCTGCATTTGCACCATATGCTCAATACGATTATTGAATTAACTCATTTTTTTTGAGTTTACATTACAGGTAGTCCTCGACTTACAACCGTTCATTTAGCAACTGTTCAAAGTTACAGTCAGTGCTGAAAAAAGTGACTTGCAACTAGTCTTTGTGCTTACAATCATTGCAGCCTCTCCTTGGTCATGTGATAAAAATTCAGATGCTTGGCAACCGGCTTGTATTTACGATGGTTACAGTGTCCTGAGGTTTGCAATCAGCTGTCTTCCAACATGCAAAGTCAATGGGGGAAGGCAGATTTGCTTAATGACTGTGGCAAAAAAAAAAAAGGTTGTAAAACTGGATGTGAGTCAGTTAACAACCACCTCACTTAGCAATGGAAGTTCTGGCTCTAATTGTGGTCATAAGTCAAGGACTACATGTATACAATGAATCATGAAACATAAACACAATCTAGCTAAGTTTGCATTGCGTGTTAACACAAAGCAAACAATGGTTAAAACTAGTCAAGATTTTTGCATTATGAAATGCAACCCCTGGGTCTTTAATGGGCCTTGATCATTGTGTTATGCAAATGGAAACAAATATAACTCTGAACATGGTACTGTAGCTCCTAGGAGGAAGTCATTTCGTTTTATTTCAGAGTTCAGTAACCTTTAATCAGCTATCAGAAAAAATTATTATCACAATATGCTTTGATAATAGCTTTGATCTGCATATGAGATAGGCCAACTTTACAACAGTTTCATTTAGTCACTGTTCAAAGTTACAGCGGCACTGAAAAATGTGACTTATGACCATTTTTCACATTTACGATCTTTGCAGCATCCCCATGATCATGTGATCAAAATTCGCATGCTTGGCAATTGGCTCATATTTATGACCGAAGGCTGCAAAAGGTGATCACAAAGATCATGTGATCACCTTTTGCAGCCTTCTGACAAGCAAAGTCAATGGGGAAGCCAGATTCACTTAACAACCAGATTAACACCTTATCTACTGCAGTGATTCACTTAGCAACTGTGGCAAGAAAGATGGTAAAATGGGGCAAAACTCACTTAACAAATGTTTCACTTAACAACGGAAATCTTGGTCTCAACTCTGGCCATAAATTGAGGACTACCTGCATTCAGATATTGGGTCAATATTAATCAAAAGTGATATTGCATGGCTGAGAGTTAATCTCTCCCCTTTCTGCCTCCTTTTTTAATAGTTCATGACAAAGAACCCTAAAATGCGACTAGGCAGCAGTGCCTTGGGTGGAGAGAAAGCAATTCTCCTGCATCCCTACTTTAAGGAACTGGACTGGGACCTTCTAAACGAGCGCCAGATTGAGCCACCTTTCCGACCTCGAATCGTAAGTGTTTAAAACTGTGAGTTGTGTGTGTATTAGTCCATGCAAGGACAGATCACATCCAGTAAAGGAATACATGCATTATATGCAAAATATCAGCAGTTCAATCTGGGTCCAGCCAATATAGTAGAGAAATGGACTAGGAGCTACTTGATCTGAGGTGACTTCCTGGCCATTTCTTTTTCTTTCTTTTTTTAATGAATATGGACATTGCCCAAATTGTGCTTATGCGCTTTTGCTGTGATGCTGCCCACTTTCAGAACTCATATTGGCTGCTTCCAATGTGAGAAATATCAGGTTTGCATTTGTTTGCGTGACCACCAGAATTTAACCAAAGGAAGAAACATTTGTTTTATTTATTTGTTAGTTGTCAAAGTCAGATCAGGTCACCAGGGGTCTGGGCACATCTGGCACATCATTATCATCATTATTGTCATCAGTTAGAAGTAACCTTGGAGATCTTCTAGCCTAACTCCCTCTTAAGCAGGAGACCCTGTGCCATTTCAGACAAATGGATGTCCAGTCTCTTCTTAAAAATCTCCAATGATGGAGCACACACAACTTCTGAAGGCAGGCTGTTCCACAGCTGTTAGGAAATTTATCCTTGGTTCTAGGTTGCTTCTCTCCTTGATTAGTTTTCATCCATTGCTTCTTGACTTGCCTTCTGGTGCTTTGGAAAATAAGTTGACCTTCTCTTTTTTTGTGGCAGCCACTCAAATATTGGAACACTGCTATTCTGTCACCCTTTGTCCATCTTTTCACTAGACTAGACATGCCCAGTTTCCGCAACTGTTATTTATAGTTAAATTTATATTTTGTCTTTCTGCCCAGACTTCAAGGCAGCCTACATCGCAGTTCCTTCTCCAATTTTCTTTTGTGACAACAAGGTTGTGAGGTAGATTGGGCTAGTAATTGAGAGAGTAATTGGCCCAAAGGCCCTCAGCAAAATTTATAGGTGAGGGGTCTGGTTTTCTCTGATCCTAGACCAATATTTTAAGCACTGCATCAGTTCAGAGATGTCAGCAAGAAGAACTCTTCACATTTGTGTATTGGGTCACATTTCCTGACTCCATTGGGGAGATAAGAAGCTATTATCTATAGCTCAGACTATGTGTCCTTCTAGCTTTGGCCAACATAGTATCCTCCAAGTAATGTCATCTAATATTTATTTTGTTTTCATTTGCCAGAAATCAAAAGAAGACGTGAGTAACTTTGATCCTGAATTTTTAAAGGAAGAGCCGATCTTGACTCCCATTGAAGAAGGAATATTATCCATGATCAACCAAGAGGAATTTAGAAACTTTTCTTATACAGATCCAGAATTAGAGTCTTAGCTCCATGTTGACTGGGCTATCTATTCAGCAACAAAGAAGGATTGGAATATGGGATTGCCTAGTCATTTTTTCAACTGAATCATCCAACAGGCAGACTTATACTATGCATCAGAGTAAAGAGGAGAAAAATGAAACTGAGGAACTCAGCAGGAACAAATATTTCTTCCAGTAAATGAATGATGCACAAAAGACGAATGGGTAGAGCTTGTTAGCTCTGAATGGCTACTGAAGTAACTTTGCAGTAACTGGGGGGAATTTCTGGAAAAACAAAATCAACTCTGAGCCAAAACTACCTTTTTGCAGCACTGATTTCCCATGAAATAACTTGGCTGAACTACCTTCCGCAATCAAGGAAGCAAAAAGAGAATAGGGCTGACTGGTTTGAACTGTATTAGAGAAAGGTTACATGTGCTACTACTTTGCTTAGAGGTTATAGGTTCAGGTTTCCTCAAATCAGAGTGAGTACACATCTGTTAGAAATATTTTGGACGCCCATTTACAAATATATGTGATTATACACATTGACAGGAAATAAAGAAAAGAGAGCAGGAGGGCAGGAGAGAAGGAGGAAGGAAGGAAGGAAGGAAGGAAGGAAGGAAGGAAGGAAGGAAGGAAGGAAGGAAGGAAGGAAGGAAGGAAGGAAGGAATTCTGCATTGAATTCTACTGAGGATGTTTGATGATACTGTATGTATGGGATTTGGTGGGATGCTCCACCTGCCCATCTTTATCATTATCCATTAGATACTGGCAATCAGGTAAAAGGAGAACACCATGATATACTCTCATGCTATGGATATGTGTCCATGTGAAGGAATAGGAGAATCAATCCACCTGCTACCTCTGCATTAGAATGTGGGAAATATTATCTGCAGATTTGTAAAATATCGAGGTTTTGTAAAATTTGGTTAATTTAGTTTTTAGGGTTTTCTTCTTTTTATGACTTTTATTCTTCTCTCCTGAATTTGCAGAACAATGTACAACTGATTCTGTTTTTTATCCAAAGACAACTTTACTTTGGATTCCCTTTACAAACTGATGGCATTTCTAAGCTGCTTATTTTTTTAAAAAAATGGAAATTTAAAAATGTAGCAGTTAAATTACTTGTCCACCTGGATGAAGGACAATACACTGAAGCTATTTGTAACTTAATTCACATACTAAATCTGAATTAAGAGAAACCACACAACATTTGACATATTGTGATCATGTGACTTCTTTGCCTCAATAGTAACATGGAGCTGAGAGTTTCATGCTCAAGTCAGGGAATTTAATCTGTTGTTATTGTTGCTATCTATTATCATTTTCAAAGCATGTAATAATGTATGCAAGTATCCTGGTGTTACCAGATTCTGCTTTATACCTCTCCAAGCATATCAATCCACACTTTAATTAAACTAGATGTCAACTTTATTTATAAATCAATTTGAACTATAAAGTAATACAATGAATTCATCAAAATATTGAAAAGATGAGTGTAGGTTTGAAGCTTGGTAAAATACAAGAAATAATATAGAACAGGGTTCCCAAATTTCTGCAGAAGACAAACATATAGTAACATTTAGCATGTAGCATGTAGCAAGATGATACCACTGAAATCCTCAAATCAGATTATATTTAAAGGTATCCAAAATTACTCTTAGAGTGTCAGGCAACCCTTGCCAGCCCCCCCCCCCAAATCATAAGGACCAATCTTGGGGAATAAAATATAGGGTTATATCTAACTTTAATTGAAAATACTTTGTCTTGTCAATGAGATTCTCCGTTACTTTCCTACTTCCCACAATACATATCTCATGTCTGCCCTGAACATTACTGAAATGGGAAGCATGAAATCACCTAAAATCAATGATATGAAGGGATTGCTTCATTCTATCTAATATTAGGACTCTCCTTAAATGGACTTGCATGTTGAGTTCAGTAAGTTATTTCTTTATAAATTGTCACCTGTGATGATCTATTGTTGGTGACCTCTGTACCTGGAATTGGGTATGTCTAGTTTAATGAAGAGAAGGATGAGGGGGCACATGATAGTGTACCAATATCTCAGGGGCTGCCACAAAGAAGAGGGAGTCAAGCTATTTTCCAAAGTGCCTGAAGGCAGGACAAGAAGCAACGGATGGAAACTAACCAAGGAGAGAAGCAACCTAGAACTAAGGAGAAACTTCCTGACAGAACAATTAACCAGTGGAACAACCTACCTCCAGAAGCGGTGAATACTCCAACACTGGAAGTTTTAAAAAAGAGACTGGACAGCCATTTGTCTGAAATGGTGTAGGGTTTCCTACCTGACCAGGGGGTTGGACTAGATGAACTCCAAGGTCCCTTCCAACTGTTGTTGTTGTTGTTGTTGTTATTATTATTATTATTATATCAATATAGCAGCCATTTCTCAAGGGCTAGCTTATGGAAACGTATAGCTAAAGTATAAACTTTAATTCATTTTTTATACTTGGTCAACTTATAATAGTGAGATGAGAGCTCCCTTATTTCCTCAGGTATCTGACTGATTACAGGTCTCTGATAACCGCCATCACTTGGCTGATTTAATTTACAAGAACAACTGTTTCCTGGAATGTACCAATTTAGGCCATAGGAGGAGGATGTAGAGACGTTCTGCATAATGGGGTGGGGGGGAAATCTATTAGCTGGCATTTTTGAGAGAAGACTAAATTACAGTAAACCTTCAGCTTAACGGATTGTAAAGAAATGGGCCACCTTCAAAAAATAGTTTTGTTCATCTTGAGAAGCACATATATCATCAAAATGAAAGAGGGTTATGAATATTTAACAGATGTTGACACTCAGTATGGCAAATTCAAATGGACAGGAATACAGCTTGGATTGACAAATTGCCCTGCAGTCTTCTCCAGGTTCATGAATTAAATCTTTTCTGGTGCTTTGAACAAATAACTTAGAGGTGTACTTGGATGACAAACTGATTTTTTCCCAAAAAAGTCCCATCTTTGCATGAGACTCATATCATAAATATCTTAGAACACTTCCCAAACATTTTACTAAGTTGGAAACATGTTTGTGTGATCTTCCCCAATTGGATTATTTGGGTTACTGAATATGTACAGATGGAATACAAATGGTTTCCTTGGAAATAAGGTCCATCCTTTCATTTCAGACATCTAGAAATGTGAAGGATGTCCAAATCTTTCTGGTCAGTGCAATATCTATAGAATTAGCCCCAATTTTGCTGAATACACAAGAAAGGACATAAATTTAAATTATCTACTGAACAGCAATTTATCAGGGCTTTAAAAAAAATCTTATCTTCCCAAGCCACTGTTCAAATATCTGGATCCTTCTTGTCCGTTTATTGTGCAAACGGATGGCTCAGGCTATTTTAGGGTTGATCTCCTTCAAGCTTCAGCAAAGGGAGGACAGGGTTTCTTGCCTTGTGTATTTTATTCCAGATTTTTATACCAGATTCCAGGTAAAAGGAACTGTGGCATTTTCAAGAGAACTGCTTGAGATAAAAGCAGAATTCCATTAATGGAGATGTTTGTTGGAAGGAGCATCTATCCAGTGTAAACACTCAAACACACATCAATCCAGTGTAAACACACATAGCTCTCAAAAATTTAGAACATTTCCAAAAAAACACAGGTGCTCATACCCTGTCCGATCAGATCAATGCAATTTTTCTTTAATTTCAGTGGTTTGGATCACAGAGGAAGCTACAGATGCACTATCATGTAAACTTGAATATAATCCCCCCTTTTCACAATCTTGAACCTGAACAACTTTGTCCTTCTAATTCTTCCAGAAAGATTGGGGCCAAGAAGGATAGGTTTCGATTACAACAATGGGATCCATATGTCAGGACTCAGATGTATGACCTCCAGGGGAACTTACAGGCTGATTTGTTCCCTTTTTCTATAACTGACAGACAGTTGTTTCATAATGGCATTTTACATGTTCTCCTTCGTATAAGGGAAGAAATGTTGCAACTTTGCTATGACAATAGAAATGCTGGACAAGAGGAAAAACTGCCATGGGTATTGAGAGAATAAGAGCAGGTAAGGTATGAGGTAAAGGTAAGAGCAGAAGTCAATGTCCATATTTCATCCTGCCATATTTGTCAATGGGCCAAGGTGGCCTGATTAATTTAATTTAGGACCCTCCCCTCCCTCTCTTGGGCCCTGAGACACAGTATCCATGGATTTGTATTACCAATCTTCTACAGATAAAGGGTCATAAACCATTTTTGTTATAGTGGATTTGTTTACTAAAATGCTCATTTCATTTTTGGCAAAGGCTTCCCTTTTACTCAGAAAACTATACAACCCTGTTTTTAGTACAGGAACTTGGATTGTGGCTCTCAGCTTACATCCAGGTTTTGTAAGGACCATCTCCAGTTATGTTGGATTAATTTGTCATTGTGTCATTAGCTGGGCACTATTGGTAACTGCAGGACATGAAACATTAATCTCTGTCTGTTATCACCAGAACAATTGGATTAAACTGTTGCCTTTTGCAGACTTTGTCTATAACTCAATTCATTCCTTCATAGATATGTCTCCTTTTCAGGCAGTTATGGCTATCCGTATTTTGTTTCCACAATCAACCTTCTATATCAGGCATATCAAACTTGTGGCCCACGAGCCACATCTGGCTCATGCAGGCCATGCCCACCCTGGTGCCACAAAGGTGAAAAACTCCCGATATGTCACCATATGGCCTGCGATGTGATTGGGCTTGACATCCCTTTTCTATATGGTTATATAGCAATAGCAGTGGTGGGATTTAGCCGGTTTGTACCGCTTCGGCAGAACTGGTAGCCATTTTTTTTGTTGCCCAGGCCAGAATAGATTTCCAGAAGTGGCATCCACACAGAGAACTGGTTGTTCACATATTTGAATCCCACCACTGAGCAATAGCACTTAGCAATACCACTTAGACTTTTATACTGCTCCATAGTGCTTTACAGCGCACTCTGAATGATTTACAAATGCAGCATATTGCCCCCCAAAATTTGGGTCCTCATTTTACCAACTTTGGAAGGATGGAAGGCTGAGTCAATCTTGAGCCAAGCAGGATTAACTCCAAGCTCTGGGCAGAGTTAGCCTGCAATACTGCATTCTAACCACTGCACCACCACAGCTCCATCCTTAAATGCATCCAATCAGAATAGAGCTGGAAGGGACCTTGGAGGCCTTCTCGTCCAACCCCTGCTCAAGCAGGAGACCCTATACCATTTCAGATAGGTATGGCTGTCCAGTTTTTTTCTTAAAAACCTCCAGTGATGAAGCACCTACAGCTTCTGAAGGCAAGCTGTTCCACTGTTAGGAAGTTTCTCCTTAATTCCAGGTTGCTTTTCTCCTTGATTGGTTTCCATCCATTGGTTCTTGTCTTGCTTTCTGGTGCTTTGGAGAATAGGTTGACCCCCGCTTCTTTGTGGCAGCCCCTCAAATACTGGGATGCTGCTATCATGTCACCTCTTTTCTTTTCTCTAGACTGGCCATACCCAATTCTTGCAAGCGTTCTTCATATGTTTTTTATCTCCGGGGCCCTTAATCATTTTAGTTAC